GCTTGGTTACAACTTTTGTATATGAATGGATCATACAAGGTGCTCCGGCTGCTACGGCTGTTGTACGCTAAGCTAGCTTGTCTAACCTTAGATTGGCGCTCGCTTACATCCCAGCATCCATCTGCATCGGTTACATGCTTGGTCCTTCTGGTACACGCACCGAATGTCCCACCTAGAGAACGCTCTCGCCTTGTACTATAGTGTAGTCCTTGGAGAGACTAAACTGTACCTAAGGAAAGCTAAATGATATAAATGGTAAGGGAAGTTGGGTTAAAAGCCTTAAAGTGGCTTAGCGGTGGATTACTAAGGCACAAACAGTTGGTCGTGCACTCGTAAGTTGATGAACAGCCACAGGGGTAGACAAAAGGCCATGGGGCACTGCAGTTATGAGGACGACTAGATTTACGTGCCAGTCTCTATGCAGCTAGTATCAATCCCAGCACACTGGCAGTCCATATCCACTGCGGAAATCCAGCGAGAGTCAAGAGAGGCCTATAGCTGGGCATGTGAGGAGTGGAATTGATTGATGTTCCCGAATTCAAATGACATGTCGCAATCTCGGGGACTGAATGCAAGGGTTTAAAGGCATTCCCTGAATCCAAGCTAGCATTGAGTACCGGCGTATTGTAGTCTTGAGCAGCCTTATGCAGGTAATGTCGGTTTAGAGCCGGTGCTTACGGTCGATAGAGGGGATCGTGGCTTGAATACCTAACCGCGTACTAGGTAGGTGTAACGGCGGGATCGAAATCCTCACCACCACACCCCTCGCCGAACCCCCAGGATGGGGTCCAAATGTCACGGTATTTGCGAATGCGACTCAGCTCCACGGCCCTAAACCCCCCTAGTAGCACTTAATTCATCTTGGCCCGTCACAATTGATATGTTGCGCTTATCCCACCGCTTCTGGACTTTTGTAAAAGTACAATGCAGGTCCATTAGAGCCTGCAGGGCTGCAAGGTTCAGTTGGCTAGAGCCATTCGTCTTAACAACACCATAGGATGAAACTTGGAAGATCGTCTACAGCCTCGACTTTCGACATCTGAGACGCTGGATCGTGTTTGCCGACGTTCAATTAGAACGGATGATTCTTCAAAGAAAAAAATAGCCATGGCGCCACCCCTTGCGTCCCGTCTTACATTGCAGGGATATTCCGTATAGGTAGGTGGGCAATCGCAACATACTTCGTGGTATTGGACTGGTCATTTCTGCGTACGGGACGGGGGACTTTGATTCGTGTATCAGATCGAGAAAACAATATGGAGTCCACCTACGAGATTCTACTTAAATACCAGAATCTCGCCTCGACATGTCCCAAATCATCTGGAGCAGAGACCAGTTAACCTACCCAAGATGTCGACAACCAACGGAGAACACGTGAAGCAAACCATCTTGATCACAGGCTTGAACGGATACCTAGCGGGTCGAACGGCCGAGCTGGTGCTTGAAGAAGGATACCGAGTTCGTGGTACCGTCCGCAATAAGCTAGCAGGCCAGAAAGTGAAGGCCACTCTCTGTCGCCTAGGGTATTCCGCGGACGACATCGACGTCGTGCAAATTTCCGATATATGTCGACATGAGGCCCTTGAGCTTGCTGCTGACGGTATGATGGTAATCTATGCCGTACTAGAGTGGCTTTTAATCGATATTCTTAGGATGTTGTGCGATTTTCCACCTTGCTTCGCCCCTTGCTGAAATATGGACACTCCCCCCTTCAGAGCTGATCCGAATAGCGGTGGAGAGCACAGCAAGCGTTTTAACTGCAGCAACGAAAATGGGCCGTACGATGAAAAGTGTGGTACTTGTGTCATCCGCAGCGGCCTTGTTCAACCTCCCTTTGGAAAACCGGCTCTATACTGAGAAGGACTGGAACACCACGTCCGAAGATATTGTCGATCGAGATGGCGATAATGCGGGCGGCTTCCATGCGTATCTCGCCAGCAAGACAGCTGCGGAGAAGTTATTCTGGAAGTTCAGAGACGACCACCGGCCCTTATTCGGAATGACGGCTCTCCAGCCCACGTGAGAATGCTCGATAACTAGAAATCTCGAGCTATGCTAACGCTCACAATAGATATTTCATCGGACCGCCACTAATCCCGTGGAAAACATCGGGAGATATTCCGTATTCCAATAGCGACTTCTGGAAGGTTGTGGCAGGGGAGGAAGTGCCCGGTCCCATGATGATCTATGGTGATACGGTCGATATACGAGACGTGGCACGGATGTTACTGTGGTCAGCACTAAATCCTCAAAAGGCCGATGGGGAGCGTTTCGTGTGCTCTTCGGCCGTTGGTGGTGGACAGGCCATTGCCGATATACTGAGGAAACGAATGCCGTCTCTAAAGGTTCAGCGAGGACGACCTGGACAGGGATACTCACCTGATTACAAACCTGGGAGTGGTGTAGGTGGATTTGACTTCAACAAGGCCATCTTAGCTACTGGCGAGGACTGGATTCCATATGAGCAGAGTGTTATCGACCTCGCACAGTTCCTGCAGCGGTATCTTCCGTGATGAGTAATCACAGTGTTTTACTCGGGTGAGCAGGACGCCGTCCTCAGATGACGAATCCTCTCCCTGACCCTAGAGACAAGATGTGAGGCATATCGGCCCGTTAAAATAAGTTGAGAAAAGTTTAGAGGATAATATAGAGGGCTTCCGGTAATAACGAATTGTAGTCATTCACGAGAGCGTCTGCCATTTGGCCCATTAATCGGAGGATCGTAAGTGGGTTCCTCTATTGAGTTACACCTATAAACAGATCGAGACTTAACTCCATCAGCCTTGAAGATAACAAACAGCATAATATCCTGGTATCAACCTCATCAAGTAATCAATCGAACACGAATACAGCACTCTCCCGCTCTAAGATCTTGGCGTCGGGCGTATTAAAGGCCGCGCGCCGAGCGACCCTTCTCCTACTTGCTTGCCCTGGTGAATAAATACCTCACTGACAAATTTCCCGTAATCGTCCTTTCAAGCGGAAGTCAAGAAATGGTTCCCGGCTAGTACCTCGCCAAGCCCCAACTTCTTCTCGGCACCCTCCTGGTTCCACCACAGCCTGCCCGTCAACTTCACCTCGGGGGTAAGCTTCAGGACGCTCTTGAGCTTGGCAGCATCGAGATCTTGCGGCTGCTCGAAAACCAAGAATACATAGCGATGCGCCGCGCTGGGTTTAGGCGGGCCGGGGGGTATGTATGGCACCAACCACTCTGTAGCGCCCTCAAGCGGGTGAAAGCCGTCGGCATCGGGGGCGCCAGCTACAAGGTCGATATGTATGCCGTGTAAGATGGGGCCGAGGAAGGAAAAGGAGGGGAACGGGGCGTCCAGATCGATGGAGACGGCGATGTATTTGGTGGTGCTGGGATCCGACTTCAGCGCGTCCTTGTGGATTGACAGTGTTGGCGTCGGCGTAGCCTGCTCAATGCTAAGATTACCGGCCGCCTCCGTGTGCGTGACGTCGGAGAAGTGCAGGCGGAGCGAGACGGCCTTGGCCGCCGCCGCGAGTGATTTCTGGACGCTTGGGGACTCTCCACCCATTGTGACGATAGTAGATCTACAAGATGTTTCTTCTGCTGTTTGCCGAGGCACAGTGATAGCCAAGTAAGAAAGTAAATAAATAGAAGAAATGGTCAAATATATTTAACACGCGCCGTGAAGCAAAGTTTTATCTACCCTACCGCACATACACCGCTGCGGCAGCAGCAGCATCATCCAAGTTTTTATACCCGGGACAGGGGAGCCCCAGCTCAGCCGATCACGGCTGGTTGCTATGGGCGATTCGATACTACCTTCCCTGAGTCAAACCGTGGCAGGATATAGTAATATTTCTCTCGAGACTATGACGGTTGCGTACAAAATCGCCATATTGAGCACCACCAATTCGTAAGGCGAGCCGCCACAGAGAGCGCTTTTGGTAAGTTCAGGGTGGGATTGGCCCCAATAGTCATCCTGCCGAAGCGAATTGTTCCCATTACATAACAAGCATGGTGCAGCTCCTGTACAGCTAACAATCCCACAGTGTTGCATGTGCTTTGTCACAACAACGCATACCTTGAACCCTTCGTGTCGCATTCTGGTTCCTTGCACCGGTAACGCTCACGATAAATTTTCCACGTACGATACAATACCCACCTAATTATGCTCATAGACCCGATGACATTTACCCATGCTCAGGGGCTATAACCCTAAGCAACGAGTTGTCTCCGGGCTCTGTAATCATTAATCATCCCGAGATTGGTTGTTTGTTGGAGACGCTATGACATTCTGTCCACTCCTAACGTCATTCTGGCGATAACGGAGTTAAGATAGGGATATATAGGAAATAATGGTGGGATGATCAATCCCAAACAAGATCTGGTGTTGTATGCATATGCGCAAGGATCGGACGAAGGCCTCTGAATGGCATCAATAATGTTCAGTAATCATGCTGAATATTAGAAACATCTCGATCTTCCTCAAAGCACAGAAATTTGATGAGTCTTGAGGTACGAGTGGCTTCAATCAGGAGAACGATCGCGAGATCGCAGTTCGCATAATACAACTAAATTGCCAACGAGCTCACGACGCGTGTAGGACAATTTAAATAATCCGCGTATACAGTAGTATCTGTAAGCATTCGGAGCCGAGCCGGATATTCGTATACTGTGACCCTTATCCGCAATCAGAATAGCCGGAACGGAACCGAATACCCTAGTTCCGGTCTCCGAAATATTCACTATCCCAATTTCACATGCCAATCGGCCTGGGAGAGAGAACAGCTCTGGTACAACGATATTCCACCGCGCTCTATTCTCCTAATGCGTCCCTAGACCCAAACGGATTACCCAACAATTCAATACCGGCTGGTTACGAGATGGTGTGATGTTGTGTAAAAGTCTCCAAAAGGTCATGTACCGCCTTATTTATTGACCCCAGTGGTGCAGTCATTCCTAACCCCCCGCGTAAGCGAGTAATGTGAGGTGTTAGGTGATCGTGATAACCACAAATCAGCAACACATCGCCCTGGTAGCTCAATTGGTTAGAGCGTCGGACTTTTACGGCTCATGCTTGTAAAGCGCCATCCGAAGGCTGCGGGTTCGACCCCCGCCTGGGGCGACTACGTTTATCTTTTGCCCGTTTTCCTTTTTTTGTATAGATAAAATCGATATATTTTTTTCGTGTGGGTGAAATAGATAGGTAGATAGCGAGGATCGTTCGCCAAGACCATAATAATGACTAAACTATATCGAAGAGCCGGTGCGACAACTCTGGGCGCTAAGGCTACTTAGTCACTCATCACACGATGTAGCGTGTATACAATATTGATCGATTCTACAGTAACGGTACAATATGGGTGACATGCCGATTAGCCAATTACTCTAATTGGTTACATACACGCTCACTGAGCCCACAATGGAAAGAAAATTACAGCATAAGAATGTATATATATGCTCTGTATAAGTCGTAAATCGATGTCCTAACATAAATGTTACAGCAATCGATTACCTATTCATTCATTCCTAAATCTAACTCAGATGCGAATGAATCCAGTCTCTATCTAAACCAACATAGCCATTCTACGCCTGGGAGGCAGGGTATTACGGAGGCCCGCCTTTAAGCGAGGATTGCTGTCAATAGAATAACAGTTAGGAATAGTCGCTCGCGGCCTCTCCATAGGTAGTCAAGGCGGCTCACTTGGCGGCTCAAGTCATTAAAGATTTTTTTGTCGATAGTGTTAAAACTTTTTACAACCGGAATCTAAAGACATGATATTAGATATTGTTAACGAAAAACAGCACTGTATGTCGCTCTTAACAATATGCTACCTGCGCAGGCACCGTTTCTGATAGATAGGGCGTAGTATTGATGTTGTAGAGAGGACATCCGCCGCGAGGGGGTATATGTGCACCCCCCCCTCGGTGCCTTCCCGAATATTGGCTTTTCTGACTACTTCTATAAAAGTAACCCATGTCCCTCGGCACACCAATCTTCTTGATGTAGCCTGCTTTGCCTACCTATTGAAAGTATTAAAAGCAAGTGCTAATTGGCTAGCCTGACACTTATTTGTCCTTCACTGCATTTTTAACCCCAGCGAAAGGGACAATGCTTTCTTGGCCTGGCAGGGGTATGTGACTCAATTTATAAATAGCCACTTAGTCTTCGACTTGAAGCCGTTGAACGCAACGCTATGAACGTCGTCGTTATATAGAGGCCTTTTGATTCTTTTAATGTCTAGCGCTAAACAATATACGGACTACTTTGTATAACTACGCCAGCCTTAGGAGCCTTTAGTAATTACAACTTTATGTCGGGGAATATACAAATCTCCTTTTTTTTTAATCTATTTAATTTATTATATTAAATACAGTTAACAAACATAAAAGATCACTTGTTTAAAGCTACAGTAGTTGAATAGTCTAGAGGTACGTAAATTTGCTAGGTTACCTTTCCGTGTTTGTGTCACACGCAATTGACGCTAAGCCTCCAATAGTCTCAGGAATCTTAGACTCCGATGAAGGAAACATTCGATGTCTCGGTGTTGGAAATTCAGCCGCGCCAGCCCTTGCCTCATTCTAAGCCATAGCTGTAGGAGTGTCTGGAATGGATAAGCTGGGTCGGCAACTATCGTCGCCGAATGCTGACTTCTTTGTGTATATATAGACCTAGAATTCCAAAGCCATGGGAATAGTCAAAGAAATCTCTGGTCCCTAGAAGAATTATTGTAATTCGAACCGCATTCCGAACCCTTCGGATAGAAGCCCTTGTTATAGGGGGGGGCATGAACTTCTATTCGAGGCCTCGCGGTGCGCTACGAGCAGGACACCCTTTTGAAGGGAGGCTTCGAATAGCTGCCGATATTCATGTTTCAAGTAATGTTCGTTCGTTTCTTTGAGAGGCTGAGGGGTGCTTGAGACTTAAGCTTCGAAGCGGAGGGAAGGTGAAAATTTCTGGCTACCACATAAACCACGAAGCGGAAAGTGAGTTGACGAGGAAAACCCCTTGCGGCGAACACAAAGCGAAGCATCCCTTATATATGGCCTTCCTAGTCCGTGCGCAATGCTACTATTATCTGCATGAATGCCTCACGTGGACGACGCTAGTCATAGCACTGCATTTTGCTAGTCATAGCACTGCATTTTTAACCCCAGAGAAAGGAACAATGTGGCTTGGCAGGGATATATGACTAAATCGACTTGAAGCCGTTGAACGCGGCGTTATGAACGTCGTCGTTATACAGAGTGTTCTCGACTCCTTCGGTGTCTAGCACTAGACGATATACAGACTACTTCGTACGAATATGCTGGCATTAGAAGCCTTCAATGGCAGATATACAGGTCCGGCCCTATTATGGATCCCATGCATTCATCACAATAATCGTGATCTCTAAGCGGTGACTCACTCGACCTTCCAGAACAATATACTGTGACCGAAGGACACAGTGATCGTGACTCATCACGCCGTTCTGATCCGAGTGAGACGACCCATCTACTTTCTCGCCGGGCTCGGGTTCGGAGCCCGAACTCATACACAGAAATCCGGAGAAACTATTCTCGATGGATCCCTTCGCCATTCCAATCGGCCGTGCACCCCAAAGCGACGACAACAATGGCAAAAGTCCGTCCGTGCTAATGCGAAACTAGTACGTAAACGCAATGCCTAGAGTTACGGCGGCAATACTTTGCGAATCTAACGCCGGCCCACTTGCTCTCCCTGGCTTAAATGGAAGCTAGCAACAGGAAGCGTGAGTCACCTGACTACGCGTCAACTCCGCATCGGTATCTCTTCCTGAGGATGTTTAAGACGCACGGGATTGGGCTTGGAGTGATTTGATTGCTGCGATGCTGTGCTTCGTACTCCCGTATACATAGTCCTAGTCATATCCTCATTCTTCTAATTTAGAAATAATCCTGTAAGCCGCAATGTTGTCCGCAAGAGGAGCGCGCTGGGCAAAAGTCGACTATGCCCACGGCGTGCAAAACCGGTATGACCCGGTGAAGAATCCACAAGGCGCGGTGCGGTTCGAGGGCGCGGAAAATGTACTGTCAACCGAAAGAGAGTGTGAAGCGCTGGTGCTGACGGGTACTTAGTCGCTTATCAGGGTTGGTAATTAGTATTGTAGTATAAGTAATTTTTGTAGTATTACTACAGTTGTTGAATGGGCTTTGTACGATATTGTACGTTAAACACACGCGTGGAATAGAATACAATCTATTGTACTATATTCATTTAACGCATCTCCCACGTCAGTGGTACACCCAAATAAGTGGTACACTTTCTTAGACCTTTGTATGCACATTTTAAAATAATTTAACAATAACGCGTACAATTAATTCAAACTATTTAGAATTTGATTTTTTAAACATTTTTATATTGTTTTAACAAGTTTGCGCATTATAGCTAGGTTTGCTATAAGCTTTATAGCGCTAAGCGCAAATTTTTTTTTTTTTTATATAACAATTATTTTTATAGTTTTTACAATTTTTTTGCTTAACTACATTTTTAAAAGCTTGCAAATTTTTTGCTTTTTGTATAATAAAAAATTTTTTATTTTATAATTAAGTTTTTTTTATATAACAACGTTAGCTAAGCTAATAATTTGTTTTATAAAAAGTTGCAATCTTTTTTTTTAATAACGTAAAATAATATATAACGTTAATTATATTATGCATAATTTAGCTTATATTTTTAATAATAAATATTAAAAAGCTATTTTAATATTGTATAACCCATAACACAAGCTAGTTTTGCACACAAGCAAGTTTCGCACTTTTTTTAGAGTACCCTATAAGCTAATTTTCTATGTAAAAGTACTTACACCACTTTTTAATAACTCCGCGAAAATAGGTTGTACAACAAAATAATTAGTACTATTAGATTCGTAATAAAATAACGAATCTAATAGTATTTTCTTTTATTTTCTTACTATTTTATTTAAGGCGTTATTAAAAACTACGCTAAAATAATCCCTGCAAATTTGTTTTTTAAAGCTATACGCCAAAATAAAATAGCTACAAAATAAAAGAAAATACTATTAGATTCATTATTTTATTACAAATCTAATAGTGCTAATTATTTTATTGTACAACCTTTTTTCGCAAAGTTATTAAAAAGTAGTGTAAGTACTTTTGCATAGAAAATTAGCTTACAGGGTACTTTAAAAAAAGTGCGAAACTTGCTTGTGTGCAAAACTAGCTTGTGTTATGGGTTAACTTTTAATTTAATATATTAAAATAAAAATTAAGCTTTAGTTAAATTATTTAAAGTTATAAATTGTTAGCAAACAAATAAAGTTAAAAATAAAAGCTTAACTTAAAAAATAACTAAATAATAATTTAGCTAGTTAATAATATATTTTAGGTTATATAGTTTTAATTTTGCTTTTTTAAAACTTTTTTATATGTTATTTAAAATTATAAATTTAAAAAACGCAGAAAAAAATGCGCTAAAAATTTTTTTTTTTTTAATATAAATAATATATGTTTATATTAAATGCTTAATTTGTTTATTATATAATTATTTTAAAAAATTAAAACATTTAACATTTAAAAACTAAAGCTTATAAAAAAAATAAAAAAGCATACAAAAAATAATAATGTTGTTTTTTTTATAATATAATTTAAATTTATATAAATAATAGCTTTTATGCTTATTAAAAATAAATAAACAATAAGCTTTTTTTATATAACTTTTTATATATAAATTAAAATGTTTAATTTAATTTACGCTTTATTTATTTGTTGTTTAACTATTTTTTATAATTTTAACTTTTTAATTGTTAAATAAATTAATATTTTTGTATTAAAATAATAAATAGTTTTGTTTTATTAAAATAATATAAAATAAAATAATATAGTTATATAATAAAACAGTTTAAATAATTATAAACTAATTTATATTATTTAGTTATATAGTTTTTAATTTTTATATATATTTAAATATAATTATAACAAAGTTGGCTATAATTTTGCTTGTTGCAAATTCTGTTTTATTAAAGTTATAAATATTGTTTTTATAAATGCTTTTGTTTTAAATTATTTTTTATATAAATATAAACTAAACGCAATATTTAATTAAATTTTTGTTTAATATTTTTTAATAATTAATTTTTTAATTAA